TGTTCCTATTGGTCAGGTTAACACAATAAGCCTACCTATCACACACGGACTGATGACCATCCACGACTGCAGCCTTCAACACCGGAAAGCAGCAATCCTCACAACTGGACCAGTGAGCAGCATCATGGTCAGCAGAAAAAAGACTGAAACCGCTAAGAATTTCGTTCTGCGTGAATCCGCAACCCACACTCACGGAAGCAGCCGTCAGGACATCGGACTGGCTACTGGCTTCGGGCAGACCCCTTGAAAGTGTTGATTGAGGCTCAGAGGGGACACGTTGAGGCCTGAGTGGGCCTGCCCCAAGCCAGGGGATTTCGGATCCCTTCCTACGCTCGGGGAAGCTGGACAGATAAGACAACCGTGCAGCGGTCACGGGAGATGATCACCTGCAGGGAAGCTGGCTACAGGGTGTGCCCGGAAGCCCCTGAAACTGTTCTGTAAAGAGAACCATTTCCCCAAATCAAAGTCTGTCCATGTTTTTAAAAGACAAGAGGCTGGAAAAGAACTAAGTGCCGCTAGGCGAGGGCTTCCAGCCAGGCTTGAGAATGGCCGATGGAGCTTGGCTGCCCTGGGAGCTCACTTTGCAGGGTAGCGAGAACCCGTGGGTTCTCCACGCCTCCACCTCCTGCCGTCACTGGCTCCCATTTGGAGTGCTTTGAAGCTGCTTCTCGGAACATGAGGGTGTGTGCAAGTAAGAGGAAAGGGACACGGGACACATGCTGATTTGGATGACATTAAAATAGGGAGGGCATGAAATCATCTCGGGGGAGAATCCTGGCCTAGCCGAGTGGACATCAACTTGGAGAAGATCCCAGAGAGTGTGACCAGCTCCACAGTGGGATCTTCTGTGGAGCAGCCAGGCAGTTGTGGGGAGAACACGGCGACGCTTTCACAACTGACTCAAAGGCACCTGGCAACAAACACTTGTGTGGGCCGTTTCTTGATCTAAAGCGCTCCTCTGTGCACACGCATATAAGCATGTGCTTATCTACAGAACCCAGCCTAACCCCGGGGGGATGTTCCTGATGCTCAGCAGTTCAAAGAAGGGCAGTGTGGAAGAAAGTCCCGCAGGGCCTGCAGTGGAGCTGCCCATGGGCAGCAAACAGACAGTCTTCACGCATGAGCAGTTGGAGGCCTACCAGGTAGGGGCTGGGGCCAGGCCCTCGGTTCCCCGGTCTGAGAAATGGGGACAGCACCACCACGTCTGTCCTGACTCGCAGAGACCCTCCAGGAGTAGACCTCTCCACAGGACTTCTCCAAGCCTCTCATCTTTACAGAAGCTGACTGCCACTTCTTTCTCCCACCGAGCAGCTGGTGGGTTTGAACCGCTGACCTCTCAGTTAGCAGCCAAACACTTAAAGCACTGTGCTGCCAGGGCACCTTCCAGAAAGAGGATGGCAGGACACGCACGGGTCACCAGGAGTCAGAATCAGCTCTGTAGGCATGGGCGTGGGTTTGTTTGTTTGATTGGAAGCAAGTCGCTGGATCCTGCTGATCTATAAGGGGCACGGGGAGTGGGTTTCTTGGAGCTGTGGGAACACAGAGCTCACAAGGATTTTACATAAGCAGGCATTTCTTACTCGCAGCTCAGGAGGCTGGAAGCAGGGCCTAGCTCTAGGGCAGCGATTCTCAACTGTATTAAAGGGTCGCGGCATTAGGAAGGTTGAGAACCACTGCTCTAGGGGAAGGAGCTTTCAATGTATCTCTCCAGCTATCTCTATCTCGATCTATTCTTTTCCTGCCTCTCTGTCTCTCTGTCTCTCTCTCATAGCTCTGGGGAAAGTTTCTTGTCTTTTGTCAGCTCCTGCTCTTCGGTACCTCGGCGAGCTCCGTGTGGCTTCTGTGTCCCCATGTCTGAGTGGCTCTTCTTACTTCTCAAAAGTCATCCCACTGAACACCCTCCCAACACCGAGATGACCTCATATTAAACCCTCAAAAAATCCCAAATGGGATCGGAGGCACGGGGATCGGAGTTAAGATTGGATCACTTCTTCTTTACAGGGGGTGGGGTGCACAATTTGACCCACAGCACCTAGGTGAGGCGTTAATACATTTCCATGTTACCACCCAGGCTCAGAGAGGTCAAGCAACTTGCGAAGGGCCACACAGCCAATGATGGAGAACTGGAATCTGACCCAGGAGTGACCCGCAGCCCCTCTATCACCCTGCTTTTCCCCTAAAGGGGCTCCAGCTCCCGGGCCTTACAGGAGGTCAACTGTCTACCGTTTGGCTAGTGGAGCACTGAACCATTTGTGCCACCCAGGGATCCCAGAAACGTAGTCAGTAGCCTTGTAAAAGCCTAGCGCTCCTCCGTCCAATTGTCATGTTGTGGTGGCTGGTGTGCTGCTCAAAGCTATCCCACCGGTATTCCCATCAGGGTCACACGGTGGAGGACAGGTGTCCTCGGA